CCCTGGTGGCACAGTGGTTAAGCACTCAGCTGTTGACCGAAAGGTCAAAGGTTCGAACCCACCAGCTGCTCCACAGGAGAAAGATGTGGCAGTCTGCTTCTGTAAAGATTACAGCCTTGGAGACTCTATAGGGGCAGTTCTACCCTGTCCTATAGGGTCACTATGAGTCTGAATCGACTCGACGGCAAGGTTTACACACACACACACACACACACACACACATATATGTAGATTTACTTTGCTTAAGAGTCATTGTTTCTCTGCAGAGTGTCCTCTGGGTCTATTCTTGATTCCAGGTTAGATCAAAGAATTGAGACACAAGCCAGTCTGGGGAAGAATGATTCCCAGGGTATACGGGGTTCAGAAGCAGCAGCCCCAAGACTTCCACCATAGGCAACATCATTAGACAACTGAACTGTGGCCAGTGTTTTTTTCTGCCTTCTCTGTTTGGCTTCACTTTGACATGATGGTCCACCCATGGACTATGCTCCCCATCACCTTTAGAATGAAGTTCAACTTCCTTAGCTTCACATAATGTGACCCCCTAGATCAGACATGTGAGTAACTCACCATCCACAACATGCCAGTCAGACCAAACTACTTGCATTTCTTGGATTGGGCCATTTCCTTGAACACTCTTTCCTGCTTTTATTGCTTGTCAGTAAGACCCAGCTCACCTAGTGCATTCTCTGGACAGGCTTCTTTGACCTCCTAGCCCGGCTGATGTCAGCCTGTACCCTTTCTATGTCATGCATCCATTCAAGCACTTATCATACTTTATTGACTATGGACTGACTTCTCTGCCTCCCCATTTAGACTAAGAGTTCTTTGAGAGCAAACCAAAACCCCAAAACCCACTGCAGTCCAGTCAATTGACTCATAGTGACCCACAGGACAGGGTACAATTTCCTCAAACGGTGTCATGGATTGAATTGTGTCCCCTAAAAATATCTGTCAACTTGGCTGGGCCAAGTTTCCCAGTATTGTGTAGGTGTCTGCCATTTTGTCACCTGAAGTGATCTTCCTACGTGTTGTAAATCCTACCTCTATGGTGTTAATGAGGTGGGATTAGCGGCAGTTATGTTAATGAGGTAGGATTCAATCTACAAGATTAGATTGTGTTTTAAGTCGATGTCTTTTGAGATATAAAAGACAGAAGTGAGCAGAGAGACATGGGGACCTCACACCAGTAAGAAACATGAGCCAGGAGAATAGTGCGTCCTTTGGACTTGGGGTCCCTGTGCTGAGAAGCTCCTCGACCAGGGAAGATTGATGACAGGGACCTTCTCCCAGAGCTGACAGAGAGAGAAAGCCTCCCCTGGAGCTGGCGCCCTGAATTTAGACTTCTAGCCTCCTAGACTGTGAGAGACTAAATCTCTGTGAAAGCCATCCACTTGTGGTATTTGTTATAGCAGCACTAGATAACTAAGACGCAAGGATATTAAATCCTCAGTGCTGCCAACCTGCAAATAACTGAGCAATAAATAACCAGTCAACAAAACACACTTCCTTCAATCTGTAGTGGAAGACACTAAGGACTTTTTTTTTTTTTTTTTAATTTAAACACAGGACAAGTAACTAGCAGCTGTTCCTAGTCTTTAGTTCCATGTTAATTAATTCGGTAAACTTTTTTTATAAAATTTAGATGCAATGAATGAAAATTGAAGTAAAATATTCTAAAATTAGGGTGACTACTATTTCTTCTGCCAATGATTGTAAGGATAGTTTAGGACTGGGCAACATTTTGTTCTGTTATACATAAGGTCGCTATGAGAAGGAATTGACTCTATGACAGCTATCTATCTACTATTTTTCGTATTAAACAAGCAGCATCCATATTTATCCTACTTTTCTCCCAGCAGAAAAAAGAATGAACACTCATTTTTTACGATACTCCCTAGGAAAGCATTTCATAAAATTTGAAAAGTTTGTAAGGAAACTTGTCTTTGTGGATGGAGGCAAAGTACCCAATGTGAAGATGCTCATGGATGCAGCTTTCCTGGTTTGGCACCATCAGGAGCACGCAGGGAATGGATGAGTGGGTTGATGTACCCAGTGATCCAGATCATTTTGGCATCCTGGACTTGAGAACACTCCTAAGAGAGAAAATCTCAGAACGCAAAGGTTGTTTTCCCAGTGGTATACGATCGCTCTCTTTCCCCACCCTTTCTACTCTCCACCTCCAACCTCATCTTATCTTCACTCTTCAGGCCAGCGGTCAACTAAGTATCTACAAAAGACGGAGCCAAGAGGATTTACAAAAGTAACTGTATTGCAGCCAAAATATCTTTAAAAAGAAATCCCTCTAAAGGGGCGACAAACTACATAAGAGACAATACATTTAAAATATGTATTGGGATTACAAATCAGACGTTTCCATATGGTTCCAAAGTACAAAACACAACATGAAAAGGCATTCAAACAGCTCCTTTATACATCACAGTGTTAGTGGCACAAAACGTACTGACATTTCAAAAACACACACCAAATTGTTTTGTTGTTTCATTTTTTTTACCACCACTTGTCAAATACATAATGTATACGTGTGCATGACTCACTCATGCATATTTTTATACAAGATTAAAATACACCCATGGTAAAGTGAGCAAAATACAAAGGAAAGCTTCCGCGTGTCGCACGTACCTACCCCTAACTAAAGGCTCCTGGAATCACGGCAGAAAGGATGACAGAAACGAAAAAGAGAAGGAGACCATGGGGTGTTCAGGACCAAAACAGCATGCACTTCCAGTCGTGGTGCATTTGCAGTTAGGTTTTAACGCAGGCCTCTTTGTTCCATTTGGCGTTTTTGGCGACACGCATCATACTCTCTTCACTGTGTTTATTTTCATAAGGGCTTGGGTTAATGATAAGAAATAAACAAGCTTTGGTATTTTTTCAGAGACCTTCATGAAGCTTTATGCATGCAAAATGTTTTCCCTTGATGATTTCACTGTGATTTATATATATGTATATACAAGGCGCCCTGGTGGTGCAGTGGGAACCCACCGGCCGCTCCTCGGGAGAAAGATGTCGCAGTCTGCTTCTGTAAAGATTACAGCCTTGGAAACCCTATGGGGCAGTCCTATTATGTCTTATAGGGTTACTATGAGTTGGAATTGACTCAACGGCAATGGGTGTGTATGTATGTGTGTGTATATACATATACACACACAAATAAGAATCTGGGAAATATACAAAGAGCCCATCCTGGTTCTTTCTAATCTCTTAATTTTTAAAGATTACCAAGGGAAAATTTTCTCTTCTAATTTGTTAAATAACATTTAATTTTTTGTAATATAAATGAAAAAGATCAATTCCTCTTTAAGTAATTTTCATCTATCTAGTAATCTCTTTCCCCAGGAGCCCTGTGCTCTAATCAGGGATTCGCCTGGGTCATAAATCAGTTTTATGGAATAGCAGGCTGTAAAGAGAATTGGTTTCACTTTTAAAAGACGCCAGAAGTGGCAGATGTTGGTTCCTCAGTCTGCAGTTACCCCTGGGAGTCGAGGAAGAAGGACTGGTTTGGACGACAATTCACGCAATCAAAAGTTTTCTTTATGCTCAGTCTTAACTCAGTCTCTGGCATGTGAATTTCTACATCAACTCCTTCTCTGAAGGCTGTGGCCTTGTGTGAGGATTGCAAAGCTTGGCTGGCTGGGCTACACGGAGGGCATGACAGAGCCAAATGGAGAGACCCATCAAGCCCAGTAAAACCTCATGATATGGCCTGTTGCCAAAGGGACTGGAATAACTTACAGGTCAACCGTGCCCCCCGTGGCCCACCCCTACAGTATAGTAAGCCATGGCCAATGGCTAAGGGTCTTCTCCCTCTACTGTCCAGGATAAAGACCTTCATAAACATACTTGTGCTTCCAGAGTATCAACATGAAAACCATCTGTGAAAGTGAAAGTAATTTTTCAATTAAGACAAACTATTTTGAATAGCAGGAACAGGTTCATCTACTTAATGTAGAACTCTCCATGTTTTACTTGGGAGTGACAGCAAGGTCAGGATCCAAATCTAGGACCATCTTCCCATGTTCCTTTTACATCAAGCATGGTTAATATTACATTACCATGAAAAATGGGTGTGGCATTCCATTCTAAAAGAAAAGGAGTCTGATAAAGGAAAATGCAAGTTTATGTAAGTGTATCAATGTGATCTTGCTGGTAACCCTCTAGGGAATGAACAATTATAGTTTTATTATTACTGAGCAAACTGAGGCAGGCTCAATGCAAAAATTTGGAGCACGTAGGTGCTATTTTGCTATTTTGGTTGCCAAGAAGGACTCCTTGCACTTGGCTTTGTAATCTCTGTGGTCCCTACCCAGGTCAAACCAAATGCTTGCAAAACACACTGGCAGTGAAGGCACAATGATGGTTGGTGCTCTAAGGATGTACATGATCGAGCCAAAGACTCATCTAATCTAGAAAGCCCACCCATCCCTCTAGGAATAAAGGAATTTAAGCTCTAGCCCAGGGAATGCAACCTTTCCAAGGGCTCTGATTCCCACCCCAAAGGAGAGACATTCTACGGATTGTGCAATGGGCGGAAGTTATTATAGGCAGTATGGACTAGGAAGGGGTGACAGCCTGCCCTGTGCACCACTGAACACAGGGCCACAGGCTGCCATGTTTTACAGGCATTTTAAAGACTGCTGGCTAGACAGCAGGATTCAGAAGTCACAGGCTGAGGTCTCTAGCCCAGGTTTCACCAGGTCACTTACTTCATCTTCAGGCATCCACTCCAGAAAAACCATTAGACCCTATCACAACACCTCTATCTACAGAGACTCATTGCCCAGCCTTCATCCAGAAAGATAGTCTCAGGCATGTTCTTTTAGTGAATTTTAAAAATGCAACTATAAGGAGAATCTTTTGAAAGGAACATCGATTTGACACACACTAGTTTTCTAAATGCCTTCAGTTTCATACAAGGAAATACATACTATAGGTGTAGCGTGAGGTGATTCTGTTTCTTCTGATCTATTACATTTTTAAGAAAAAAAGAAGACATTTCTATGGGGGTGGGAGATAATCAGGACCTCAAAAAGCTACACAAGTGAAGGACTCAAACAAAAACAACCCATTTTTTTGAAACACGTGTTTGCAATGAGCAAATAATTATGATAAACGTCAGGTTTCTCTTTTGTTTTACTCATCTGTGGAACTCTTAATAAGTTAAAAAAAAAAATCCCACTATAATGAATTTAAAACGTTTGTCTTTGTTATTTTTAGGAGTCCTAGCCTTAACTCTTTAAAAGCACATATGTCTTCAAAAGCTGTTCTGAAGTCAGCTCTCTTGTTTCAATCAATGGAGTAATCCGTGTTTCCTTACTGATTAGTGTATTTTCATGTCATAGTCACAGCCACACACAGGCTTGCAAAAAACCAAGTGGAAAATCTCCCCATGAAAATAATTAAATGAAACGGAAGGCTTTTTCAGCAAGGGGGATGTTGGTAGCAACAGGACTTGGAACTATGTAACACATGATTTCTGCAAAGTAATTAAACAATTTAAAGAAAAGAAAGTGGAAATCTCGAAGGCTCCCCCCCAGCCACCACGAATCCTCCAGTCCTCGTCCTTTAAGGATCAGTAATACTATCCTCTTCTCACTGCCTGCTGGAAAAGACCAAGGCAAGCGGCCAAACCATAACCACTGTGATAGAACTGTTTCAAGGTAAAATACCTGATTTTAAGACATAAAAAAAAAAAAAAAAAAAAAAAAGTTGCTGGTACCTGGGTGAGAAGTTATGAGCTTGATAAGCTTAGTCGAATCCTCAAGGAGAGAAAAAACAAAAGGCAAATCCAGACTAATGACGGAGATGTTCCTTTAAACACAACAGCATTTTCAAAGATATGCAACTACATAGGAATCATGTTTATAACAATACACAAATTACAGCTTTCAAAAAGTCATTACAACGAGTTTCAAGAAAAAAAAAAAAAAAAGCACCTAAGGCTTTCTAAATCTCTTGAAGTGTCCAAGCCAGAAAAGTCATTTAGCTCTAACTTTTTAAAATGCAAATTTCAAGAAAGGCATAGGATGGTTTATATGCACCTTGTTGGTTTTCACTACTCAGTTGGAAAGGAAAAAAAACAGCCTTCTAGAAAGATTTTACTAAATGCCATTAGTAATAAAAACAGTTGTCATAAACAGAGGGCTTTTCTCAAGTCGGAATAATCGCATTCTGTCTGAAGGAAGTTGCAATCCTTAAAAGACTTCTCTCAACAACATGACACCATCTTGAAGCTAATAAGGAGATGGGGCAATGCTTTGTACGAGAAGGTCTCTAAGGCTACTACGAGATATTTCTAGTCTATCACCAGAGGGAGAAAACTGCCTAGCGTTTTTCTTACAGCACCTCCCTTGTCAGGTCAGCAGGGACTGGTTTTGTGGGGATGTGCCCTACCCACGCCTGCCTTGCCCTCCACATGCCCAGTGGACTGCAACTGGCGCCTTGGCAAACGTTCTGATGTCTGTCCCTGAAATCACGGCATCCAGCGTGACACTATGAAGCTCAATGGGGCACATAAGGCAAGAAAGATGTTTAGTGAGAGGGGAACGGCGGGGTGGGCTGGGGGAGAGCCGCGTTTCCCGGAGGCGGCAGGGATCTTGGTCCAGCATCTTGCCTTCCTCTAGGTGGGGAGCGGGTCGTCATCCCCTTTACTGCACTTACACTTGCAGCAAAGTACAAACGGAGTGGCCAGGAGCAGGAAAGGCGAGGCCACCAAGAGCAGGAGCCCAAATCCAGCAAAAATGCCCACGACCTGGAACAAGGAAACAAAGCAGCAGAAGGTAAGGTGTGCTGGTCTGTAGGTTCTGCAGCTGAAATGCAAACCACACAACCAACCATCCATTCATCCATCCATTCAACATCCATCCATCCACCTATCAATCTGCCCATATTGCTTTCCCTTCCCTGAATTTGCTAGGAGGAAGGAGAGTTTACAGTGGAAGATGGCTGAGACTATAAAGATGGGTAGGTGGTTGTTATACCAGCAAGACTGGCAAAAGGCACTCCTGACAGGGTGTCTTAGTTATCAAGTGCTGCTATAACAGAAATACCACAAGTGGATGGCTTCGACAGAAATGTATTCTCTCACAGTCTAGCAGGCTAGAAGTCCGAATTCAGGGTGCCAGCTCCAAGGGAAGGCTTACTCTCTCTGTCGGCTCTGGGAGAAGGTCCTTGTCATCAATCTTCCCCCAGTCTAAGGGCTTCTCAGAGCAGGGACCCCAAGTCCAAAGGACGTGCACCGCTCTGGCACTTCGTTCTTGGTGGCATGAGGTCCCTCTCCTCTCTGCTCACTTTTCTCTTTTAAATCTCAAAAGAGATTGACTCAAGATACAACTTAATCCAGGAGATTGTTTCTTGCCTCATTAACATCATAGAGGTTAGGATTTACAACACACAGGATAATCGCATCCGATGACAAAATGATGGACAACCACACAGTACTGGGAATCATGACCTAGCCAAGTAGATACACATTTTTTGGGGGACATAATTCAGTCACAGGGGGAACGGGAAAAGACACACAGCACAATGCATTAGGGAATGACTGAATCCACACCATTCCTGGAACTTAAAACACAACGCAAAACTGTTAGGTATTTTGCTTTCTGTTTTAAAACAAAATTTTACCGATAGGTATGAGTTAATATTGAAAGAAATAAGCCTCAACTGTATCGACATGTTGTCCTCTAAATCAGGTAGTGTTTCTGATCAAAGGAGATGGAGTTTGTGCTTTTGACTAGTCACATCCATCAGCTGGATTCCTCAGAGGCAGGAGTGCAGAACTGAGATCTGAAGATAGAGTTAGACCACCACCTGGTGTTCAAAGCGGTAAGTGCATGAAAGAGCACAGCACATCCTTCTAATCCTGACTCTGCAAGTCTTAGTGAATTTACTCTTCCCTGGGCCTCAGTTTCCTCAACTCTAAAATAAGCAAACTGGGTAGAAAGATCTCTAAAGGGCCATTATCAGCCCTGAATTATGATATTATGCTGAATCATACCAGATGTATGAAATAAAGCATACCTGGACTTAAATTTCAGCCTGAAAACCAACACACACGTATGCTTCCTATGTCACTTTGCATTTATAATGTATAGTATACGTTAGGTTGTGCTAACGCTGACAGTGTGTCTTCGCTCCCCAGCTGGCTAAGTCTATTTGTCTGAACAGAATGTCAACAGTGGAATCTGCTGCAGTACTGGGATACCTTGAATTCTGATCACGCTTTGTTTGTTAAATTCATGTGCACATTGATATTTCAGAATATGTAAAAGAAATACCAAACCAAAACCAAACCCGTCGAGTCGATTCTGACTCATAGCGACTGAACAGGACAGAGTAGAACTGCCTCACAGGGTTTCCAAGGAGTGGCTGCTGGATTCGAACTGCTGACCTTCTGGTTAGCAGCTGTACCTCTTAAGCACTGCACCTCCAGGGCTCCAAAAAGAAAGACAGTAAGATATTACTTATGTAGAGGGTACTCTCTGGCAGTCCCAACTACCTGGAGCAAAACTGTCATTCCAGAAGGAGCCAGAGGATTCTCTGCAGTCAAAAATATGACAAAATGCTTAAAGGCTCGTGTTCCTGGCCCTCAGTTTTTCACTCACTGTATCCTTGCATTCCATTCAGTAAGTTAGGTTACCCACACTAGTGTCAACTGGCAGTAGAAGGATGCAGATATTGCTAGAAGGAAGGTAGCCAAAAATAAAGAATGAGACAAAAGCCATCACTCAGTGAACATGTTATCATATGCATCAGGCTCCAGACTAAGTACTGTGAGAGACACAGAGATGGGTAAAATAGGCTCTGCCTCCTTAGACAATCACTGTATCACACTGCCTTGTTCAAACTAGCAAACCCTGAGATTAAACCTCGCAGTCTGAGTTCCTTAAACTGTAAGCTACTTCAGAGCAAAACACATTTTCTGTGAACTATCATAAATCCCTAATGCCCAGCCTAGAGCCTCTCCCATAGTAAACGCCCAATGCTTATGGGATGAACCAGTTGAAGAGAGGCGGGTATATCCCAGATTGTGTCCTTCAGAGAGCTCATCTACAAACCACATTCGAGAGCTTGAAAAACTGAAGCCAAAATCAAAGACAGAACACGGAGAACTAAACTGTTTTAATTCATAGGAAGTCTGTATTTGAACACGCCACAAATATTGGCTGAACACATTTGAATGTGGCAGGGACTATTGAGGGTACCTACCTCGAGGGCTTTGTGATGTTGTACCTGAGCTGGCTCAAACCAGCCCATGGGAGCCAATTATGAGAGTCTCTCCCCACATCTGCATTCAGTGACGTCATGCTGAAAGGCCCATGATGGGAGTATTTACACCATGGACATCGGCCAATGCTACCAATTAGGCTCTTTCCCCCTCTGAATAGCAGGTGGTCAAACATTTACCATCACACCACTGCTTGTGTGTGTGTTTGAGGGGAGGAAAAAACTCACTACCATCGAGTCAATTCCAACTCATGTTACCCCCATGGGTTAACGAGTAGAACTGTGCTCCACAGTTTTCTTGGCTGTAATTTTTACAGAAGCAGATCGCCAGGACTTTCCTCCCCAGCACCACTGGGTAGGTACAAACCATCAACCTTTAGGTTAGTAGTTGAGTGCAAATCATTTGTGCCGCCGAGGGAGGGGGATTAAATGAGATGACACAACAGTGTCCCCAGTTCAAACTATGTGTTTAGTCATTTCTTGCCCCCTCTATCTCTTTGTCCTTTCTATATCGTTCTTCTTCTCTCTGCTAAATGAACATTTGCTGCCCTGAACTGTATAATACAAAGAGAATTATGATTTTTCTTTTGTCTTAAAAAATAATGGAGTTACCTGTTGGGACTGGGAGGCAGATACACAAATAATTATAAAAGGGTGAAAACTTCTGCAAAAAAACAGATAGAAGACACTTAACATGGATATTGGGATTCAGGAAGACTTCCTTGAGGAAATCTTGGATCAAGAAGGAGTTAGCTAGATGGGGCTGGGGCTGAGACTTTACAGGAGAGAGATAAGATTCTCTCTTATCAGATGCTGACATCAAAGGAAGTAGACTTGCCTTAGGCAAAAAAACAAACAAACAAACAAAAAACTCTTTTACCTTTTACATATGGTGGCTGATTTTTGGAATGTTGTTATTAGTTTACGCTGAGTCAGTTCTGATTCATGGAGACCCCATGTGCTGCAGAGTAGAACTGCTCCATAGGGTTTCCAAGGCTATGATCTTTCAGAAGCAGATCCCCAGGCCTGTCTTCCAAGGTGACTCTGGGTGGGTTTGAACTGCCAACCTTTTGCGGAGTAGTTGAGTGCTTAATCATTTACACCACTCAGGGGCTTCTGATTTTGGACCAGCATTGGAAAAAGGCAGGCAAACGCTTCAGAGCAGAGGGCAGGAAGAGAAGGGCACAGCCATTAGCATCTAATCCATTGTTTTTAATAAGATGTCTTTCTAAACCCTGACATCACAGTTACTCGGCCAGTTCTCATTCCTATTTGAAAAGGCACTGTTTCAGCAGGAGACACTGCTATACTTAATAAAAAAGTATATCATTTGGGACAAAACAGAATTGCGCAGAATTGTTACATAACAAAGCCATATAATATTTCCATTCACAGTACAATATCTTACTAGAAAGGTCGATTTGCCAAGGGAGATAGGTAAAATGTACTCGGCATATAATATTTTTACTTCTATAAAAATAAGGAAAGGAACTTGCCGTTATCTCATGGAGGTACACTAAAATTCAAAAAGATCTCTTTGAACAATTTTAACTAACTTCAGTTTTGAAGACAGAAAAGGATAGGGAGCAGTCTTCTTGCAAAATCAACAAATTAGACTGGGCTATCACAACTCCCCCAAGTTGGGAATCTTAGGACATTGAATGACTGAGGGAGGGCTTCTCGAGTATCCTTGAGGTTTGAGTTGGGCAAGGCCCTGAGTGACAATCAGACCAGTACATCCCCAGTGAGTGTATGAAAGGAGACTCTCGTGAGAAGTGCTAAGTAATAACACTGCCCTGCATTTGACCCATCTGTGGGATGTTAAATCAATTGAATGGGTCAAGACTATCATTTTAGTAAATAGAACAGAAACTACATAAGAATAGAACGAGTTATACATGTGATTGTGCAGGAATACGTGTACTGGTTTCCACCTATCGGCCGCAGTCAAAATTCAAAAGCCATTACTTAGAAAGTGCTATGGCCTTGGCTGGTTTGAGACAGCTAACTAAGGAGGTGGGGCCTTAAAAACAGAAGGGATCTGGATAAGGAGGGAGTCAAGGAGAAAAGTAGAGCAGGATGAAAGGTGGGAGTGGAGAAGGACAGCAGGCCACTATGAATAGGGCTCTTCTCCACCTTGCAGAGATGGAGATGAAGTTAAATGAGCAGGTAAAGGCCAGATTTTGTAGAACCAGAATTGTCAGATGAGAAGTCATCAAGTAGTGTCCCGTCTGCATAATTTCCTCTGTTGCTCTAAAACCTTCTGTGGCTCCCCAGTGCTATAAAGTCTTCAAGTCTACAGCAGGACACTCCAGATAACTCATTATCTGGTCGGCCCATTCAGTTCCAATCACTACTCTCTCCCCAGATTTTCCATCAGTTGCACGCAACCACCAGATGCTCCCCAGCCTGCCCCACACGGTCACCCTTCTGACCCTGCCTTTGTTCATGTCATCCTCAACCCCTGGAATGTCCTTTCAGAAACCTCTGATATTCACAACCTTTATGGTCTGGCTCGGTTGC